CTTTTCTGACTAGGGCTTCTAATCTTATTTTAGTAACAGTATTCAGAATGAATGGCCTTTTCTTAGAGAATGCCTCCAGGTTTTTATAGTTGAGTATGATTTTAGCTGAAAGTTTTATAAATGACATATATAATGTTTGAGAATGTACATTTTCTCCTTATTTTATTAAATATTTGGATCATAAATTGATACTTAATCTTGTCAAATGCCTTTTTCTATTTTGATTGATGTGATAATATTCTTAAAATATCTTCCTTTTGTGGGCTGGAGAGATAGTAAAGCAGGTAGGATACTTGCCTTAGTATGTAACTGACAAGCTTTGATCTTCAGTACTGATGTGATCCCCAAAACCTCACCAGGAGCAATTCCTCTGCACAGAGCCAGGAGTAAGCTCTGAGCATAACCGATTGTGGCCTCAAATCAAACAAAAATTCTTCCTTCTGTTGATATGGTAGATTACATTTATTGATTTAGGTGGTTTTTTTAAAAAAATATCTTAGACTAATTTTGCATTTCTTAAATAAAGGTCCAATTAGTCATCTTATGTTTGATCCTTTTAGTGTATTATTAAATTTGTTTTGCCAATATTTTTAGGGTTTCACATCAACATTCACTTTTGGGTAACATTGGGTTGTCCTTGCTCCTCCCACAGGGAGCTTAGGTTTATTGAGTTACTCCCATAACAATGCCCTTGAGGCACACCCAATTCCATCAAATATTAATAATCCTATATTGCTTTTTTCTTTCCTTTATGTCATTTTCATGGTTTACTTAGCAATATCATTTTTATATAGACACAGGAGACAATTCAAGCTATGCTTTGTAACATGGAAGGTAATTAACTCCAAAATAATGCTTCTGAGCATCCATATTTACTTGACTTAAGCCTCAGTTGCCCTTGGTTCCTAGTACTACAAAAGCAGGGTCCTGATGAAGGGACTGGATGAACCCAGGGCAAGCTGTAAGTTATCCTGGCATTGAAAGGAGACAAGCTAAGCACCATAAATATAATAAGTTAAGAGCATGGCCATGAACAAATTCTTTTATGACCCAAAGAGAAGTAACTGAATAAGGACCCTGCTGGAATTAGGAGAGACTAACCTGGCCTAAGCACTGTAGTCTAGGATACATAGCGAGATGTTCCAAGAGCCAAGCTTTAAACTAATTAGTCTCTTATTGTGTTCATACAAAATGACTAAAAATATTACAAGAAGTAAATTTACTATGATTGTGTAAATGGATTTCTAGCTGAGGAAAGAATAAAGCAATGCACCCTGAATGAAATCACACCCTTGAGCTGATCTCCTAGTAATCTGGAGTGCTGAACCCTCAGGTGAGATTTTGTGCCCCTGAAGGAATGCCTTTACCTCTGTTGTTATGACAATGTTCAACCCCAGTTACGTGTACCCCCACCTTTCATGATTCCTATATAAGTATGCCGTAAGGAGAAAGAGGGGAGAATGAGAACTGAGACTGGAGACTTTGGAACTTTGAGGTCTTTGAGGACTAGAGGGTCTGTGATGACTAGAAGGAGGACTAGATGATGACAATGACTGAAAGTAGAGAACTATGAGACTACGACGAGACAAGAAAGAAGAGATAACAAAAGAGAGAACTTTGAGGTCTATGAGGAGACTAGGATGATGGAACTATGATAACTGGGACTACCACCAAAACTACAACTACGACTGTGTTGTAAGGGGAGAGATCAGACTATGCTCTAGAGAGACAAATAAACCAACTGTATACCACCCTGGGGCCTGGGCCCAGTTTCTCCATTTCCCCAGTCCTTCATCTGTCTGTTACCATGGGCAGGCCAGAGGAATGGTCTCGGCCACTGAATGCTCTCGTCACTTGTGCGCACCCCCATTTTTTTCTTGGAAACTCACAATTCACAAAAGTTACTAGCCTGTAGTTTTGTTTCTGTATGTAATATCTGTCTTTGCTTTTAGTATCAGAATAATGTTGGTCTCGTAAAATACATTTCCTCTTAAATTTTTTGGAATACTTGAAGAAGTATAGGCATTAAGTCATTGTTAAAGGTTTAGTAGAACTCACCAAATTATGTCACCTGCTCCTAAAGTTTTGTTTGCGAGAAGGAGTTTTTAAAAATCAATATTTCGTTTCCTAGTTTTTATATATTTTTAATTTTTTTAATTTATTTTTTATTATTGAAACACCATGAGGTACAGTTATAGACTTACAAATTTTTAAAATTTATTTATTTATTTTGAATACCCATCCCTCCACCAGTGACCATTTCCGATCACCTCGAATCCCAGTATCCCTCCCACCCCGCACCCTCCCCATCCCACCCTGGCTCTGTAACAGGGCATTCCCATTTGTTCTCTCTCTCCCATTGGGTGTTGTGGCCTGTATAAGAATTAAGCCTGGTTTTCAGGGAGAAACGTTGGATGATTTACTTTGATTTCCGTTGATCACCTTGCATATAGGGAGTTGCCGCACAGCCGCTTATGCAGCAACTTTACTTTTGGAGTAAAAGTCCTGGGTCCTGCAGACTCAAGCTATGCTTGTAGAGGCTCATGGTCACCAGGGTTCCATCTGGAGGAGGCAGGATGCGGCACCTACCCCATCTGGGAGTTCCCGGTGATCTTGGCTCTCTTCAGGACCTGGTGCATTCTCTGGGAGCTGTGGAGCCCCCCTGCGGCCTTTCTTCTCTGTGGCTTTGTGCTGTAAAGATGGCGCTGGGGGGCGGGTTGTGGGCATGACTTCTGGAATCAGAGGTTACCTGGGGGCTGGGGCGGTCCCAGCAGTTTGGAGGAAAAGTCCAAGTCCTGGTTCCCGCATACTCGAGCTATGCTTGTAGAGGCTCATGGTCACTGGGGTTCCATCTGGAGGAGGCGAAGACTTACAAATTTTTGTGCTTGGGTTTCAGTTATACAATAATCAACTACCCATCCCTCCACCAGTGCCCATCCTCCACCACTACGGGTCCCAGTATCCCTCCCACCCCCCATACCCCCCGTCTCACCCTGCCTCTGTGGCAGGTTCTGTGGTCTACAGGAGAGGCATTGAGTGGCAATCATGTTTGGTCTATAGTCTACTTTCAGCATGCTTCTCCAATCCTGGGAGGATCCTCCCAACACCCTTTATTTGGTGTTCTCTTCTCCATCTGAGCTGCCTTTTCCCCTAGCATCATGTGTGACTGGCCTCCAAGTCATAGAGTAAAATTCTTGGTACTAATCTCGGCCATTCTTGGGTGTTAGTCTCCTATTTTGTTTCTTTATATTCCCCAGATGAATGCAATCTTTCTGTGTCTATTCCACTCTTTCTGATCCATTTCGCTTAACATGATACTTTCCATGTAGTACCACTTGTATGTAAATTTTATGACTTCATCTTTTCTAACAGCTACATAGTACTCAATTGTGTAAATGTACCAAGGTTTCTGTAACAAGTCTATCTGTTCTCCAACACTCAGGTGTTATACCCATGACATTCTTCATTTCCTAGTTTTTAATTGGTTGCTCCTGATTTTAGTTTCCTCATGATTCATTCTTGGAATGTAGCACTGTAGCACTGTCCTCCTGCTGTTCATCGATTTGCTCGAGTGGGTCCAGTAATGTCTCTCTTGTGAGACCTGTTGTTACTGTGTTTGGCATATGGAATACGGGTAGCTTGCCGGGCTCTCTGAGAGGGGCGGAGGAATGGAACCTGGATCGTCCAGGTTAGCCGCATGCAAGCAAACGCCCTACCCCCTATACTATCGCTCCAACCCATTCTTGGAATGTATGCTTCTAAAAATGTATTCATTTCTCCTTGGTTTTAGAAGTTTATTAACACATGGATTTACAGTGGACTCTTATGATTCTTTAAACTTCTGCAATCTCTCTTTTTCTAATATTGAGCCTTGCAAAAGGTTTACCAATCTTTTTATGGGATGGCGTGTGGGTTGCTGGGCCACACCCAGTGGTGCTTAGGACTTACTCTTGGCTCTGTGTTCAGGGGACATTCCTGGTGGTATATGGTGGACAGTATGTCATGATAGGGATCACCAGGGTCAGTGGTGAATAAGGCAAGTATGTTAGTCCCTGTGCTCTCTCTCTAGTCCCTCATCAATCTTTTTGAAGAACAAACTCTTGATCTTTTGTAATTTTTTTTTATAATTTCTAATTCATTTTGCTCTTAATTATTTCTATTTTCCGTCTTTCTGCTGATTGTTGGCTACATGTATTCTTTCTCAATTTCTTAAGTTATAAATTTAGATTGTATATTTGGCATCTTTCTTGTTTCATGATGTAGATCAGTACTCCTATAAACTTTCCTCTTAGTATTCTTTTTGTTGAAGGCCATAGTTTTTGACACCTGGTGTTTTCATTTTATTTTGTTTCCAAGTACTAAAATTTCTTTGATTTCTTTGTTGGCTCACTTCAGTAGCATGTTGTTAGTCTCCACATGTTTGCAATTTTTCTAGTTTTAAATCATTGTAATTGAAAAAGATACTTGGTTTTATTTTGTTAGTGTAATATTAATCATTTTGTGTTCTAACATTTAATGTATACTTGAGAAAATTCCATGTATCCTGAGAAGAATATATGTTCTTTTTGGGGACTAGGGGTAGAGTGCCCTGGAAGATGTCCATTAAACTCAGCTACTCTAATTCCTCCTTTAGAGCTGTTGTTTCCTTGCTGATTTCCTTGCTGTCTGGTAAATCTGTCCATTGACAAGAATGGGATATTAAAGCCCCCTACATACATTGCACTGTTATCAGTATCACTTGTTACTAATTTTTAAATATATTTTGATGCCCCTTCACTCTCTGAATACATATATATTAATGTATATTACATCTTTCTGTATAGGTCCTTTCATCATAATGAAATGACTCCCATTGTCTAATCTTTTTAGATTAGAATTTCATTTATCTAAGTTAACTACAGCTGTCTCTGCCTTTTTTATGTATAGTTTGTTCTGGTAACTTACTTTAAGTATTTTTTACTTGTTAATATTATATTAATATATATAGTAATGTTTTTCAGATAAATGCACCCAAGAGAAAAAGGAAGAAATTGTTGAAAGTGAAAAACCCTATGAAGGCAATTCTAAGCAAGGAAAACCAGACATACAAAGTCAAGACCATACTAGTACAAGCCCTGTGATCATGGAGCCTGCCAAGATTACTACCCTGTAAGGATAATTTACTTATTCAGCTTTCTGTTGGTGTAAAGCGTATGTTATCCATATTTAATAGCTGCGTGTTTTAATGCTTCTTTTTTTAAGGATAAGGAGTTCTGAAAATGGCTTTTGTAACTTTTATATATGTTAAGTTTCCAGGGCAGTAGGCAAAGACAAATAATCTACCGGGTAACTTCCCAACAAGATAGCTCTCTCTTGCAAGTCATCAGTGGGCCTGAAACGTCTGTACAAGATGAAATATCTGTGGATGCTATGCATGTCTTCATTGATGAGCATGGTAAGTCTTTTGAATTCTTAAAAAAAGAATTTAATTCTCAAGCTATATATTAAAGTAAGTGAAAAAATAGAACAGCAAGAAAATTTTGAAAAGGAAAGTGATATGGTGGTACTTATTTAGTTATTTAACATGTTTGGTATTAAATTTTAGCATGCTAAAATTCAACTATACTAAAATTCAACCTAAAGTTAGTGCTAGTATATATGACTAGAAATACATTAAGCTAACAATAATTATATATGTCTCTCAATTGAGATTGCTGCTTCTTTCTTTTCTACTTCGTTCCTATTTTCTAAGTTCTCAATGATAGTCACATATTACTCTTTTTAGTATAATAAACTTTTAATTTTTTATTAAGATGCCATGATATACAAGGTTGTTCATGATAGAGTTTTACGAATACGAATGTTTCAACACCAATCTTACCACAATTGTCTACTTTAGCCACCCCCAGCCTCCTTCACAAGGACATTCTTAAGTGCTTTGCAAATGCAGAAATTCAAAGATTCTTTTGCATAATAAAAGCATCATTAGCACTTATATCAAAGCCTTCAAAGGGGCTTTGGAGATCCTTTTTGTTGTTTCTATTGTTGGTGTCTAACTTCTAATTGAGATCTAGTTCTCAAATCTGTTTTAACTCCTCTCAATAGACAAGAAAAGTTTGTGTCTTTCGAAGAAGGTACTATTAAAAACTCTTCTGAGGAGAGACCATTTTACGTGTCCAAAATGAGCTGATTTTCATACCTCAATACTCCAAACCTCTTTAACAAAGCTAATTTAGTCCTGCAAATTAATTCCTTTTCTTACCTTTCCTCATTACCTGGCTGACATACTAGTCAGTATGTTATACCACTGTTCATCGCAATTTCAAATGTAGAGATGGTCTCATGTGGTCTAACCAATCAAAACCACATGCTAAATAGGGCTCTTTTTGTACACCAGAACAACAAGAAAAGCCAAAACATCCGGTTACAATAGGTACATCATACTGACACATGAAGTGAATAAACAAATAATGAATTAAAGAGAACATGTAAAGCTAGATTCACAAATTAATCGAGAGAATCAATTGAGGAATAGGCAATCGAGTTAAACTTAGCTAAGCAATTATCAGAGTGATATTTCAGGATTTTCTTAAGTTGCACATTCTATGGAGAAATATAATAAATGGACCCAGGTTGCCTGTGACTCTTGTTTTAAAATAGTATATAAGGCATTCTCTCTAACTTAAAAAACGTACAAGCTAAAAATGGAAATAATTATACACATATACTTTTGTAATACTGTTGAAATTTTATAGGAGAAATAAAATCCTGTTATTTAAAATCTGGGAATCAGAAAGAAGGCCATTTACACCACCAGCTTTTGAATTATGACAGTGTCTCTCGTGCCCGGTAAGTGGAGCTTTGTTTTCAAGTTGTGGAGCTGTTGCTGCCTTGCTTGGGGACATGTAACTTACTCTAACTGCAAATGAAGTGAAGATCTTGATGTAGGATGAATTTGTTAATCTGTAGATGTCAAAACATTTGGACTGTGTGTGAAAGTGTTGGGATTGGGAGTTCCCTAGCCCTGGGAGGCGCGGAGAGACCAGATAGACACAATTCCTGCAGGAGTAAAAACGGGGTTTATTTAGGCCAGCATGCTGGGGCTCCACAGCATACCCCAGAGTGGTCAGTGGCTTAGAGCCCCGAGCTTCTTCAAAGAGGATCTTATATAGGCCTTCACTGGCTGTTACAACAAGGCCCGCACATTTCATAGCCAATAGATTTGTAACAACATATACTTTCTTAACCAATCCATTTAAAAGTACCTTACTCCTTAGCCTATAGATTCAAAGATAAGCATTTAAGTGCATCTATAGCCGGAATCATTAAGCCTTAGGTAATCTCCCTTGACCATCCACATTTTGAGTTACCCAAGTCTGCAGGGTGCTTTAGTGAGACAATACACTCCAGGAAAGGGCAATTTCCCCCAACCACCCGCATCCTGAGTTATCCTTTACCCAAGTCTGCAGGGTGCTTTACTGAGACAATACATTTCAGGAACAGTAAATACACCTGAATCCTGTCACACTTGGTTTAGAAAGAAGTTATGCCCTGTTCACTTTCCAAGTCCCCTCTCCCCCAGTTGCAAAGCAGCCAAGCAGTTTTACAGAAAGCAATGTTGCAAGTTAGCTGAAGCACGCAAAAATGTGATGCCCTAATATGGATTCTTTCAAAAGAGAGACAAATCTTATGCTCTTTAGAGAAATAAAAACTAAGTGGAATCATTTTCATAAAAGCTTCCAAAAGTTACTGTAACATGTAAGAACCCTAAAATAGAGAACAACCTATATAAGTGTAATAATATTTATCTTGGAAAATATGGTGACACAGGTAACGAACACATGATTAAATTTGTCCCAAGAAGTGTACTAGAAATATAGGAAGGGCTTATCTGCACTAAGGAAGGCAAGGTTAAAGTAACTCTTACTTTATCCCAAATTAAAGCACACAAATTGTATTTTTATGTTCCTGGATACATATATTTCACTTTTCCTTTAGGTAAACAGACTGCTGGTATTGCCAGTCTGAAAAAAACTACAGATCAGGCCAGAGATACTATAGGAGTAAGATGCTTGCCTTGCATATGGCAGTATCAGGAGTGATCCTTGAGCACAGACTTAGGAGTAAGCCCTGAACACAATGGGATGTCCCCCAAATCTAAAACCATTACAAAGAAAAAGATCAAAAATCCAGTAGCTTTTACAAAAAAAGCATAAATTGTTTATAAAAATTAGAGAGAATGACTGCGTTACGTTCTACTTCCAATTCACTTCCACTTCCAATATGTAATTTCTTCACAAGAACTACCCACTGTGTTCTTTTCTTGATTTCTCTCTCCTTGTTTATTTTCTTTAAACATTGCCTTTTCTCTATATCCTCTTTTCACATCAGAGCTCTGTTCCTGGGGTTATAATATAGCAGTTAAGGTACTTGCATTGCATGTGGCCCACCAGAGTTCAATTTCCAGCATCACATGTGGTTCCCTGACTGCCACCATCAGTGTTCCCTGAGTGAAGAGCCACCTGTAAGCCCTGAGCACTGCAGGATGCTGCCCAGAACCAAATTAAATAAATAAAATAGAGCTCTAGTCTATTTAAACCTTCCTTCTTTGGGGCGGAGCTGCCTGAGTTTGCCTGAGTTGCATGGTTTGCCACTGTATGTCTACATATTTTTAAAAAATTGAGGAGGGATGGGTATTTGATCATTTTATAATTGAAACCCAAGCACAAAAATTTGTAAGTCTACAACTGTACCTCATGATGTCTCACTAATAAAAAATTTTAAAAAATAATAAAAAATAAAAATAAATGAATAAAATGTGAAAAATATTAAAAAATAAAAAATTGAGGCAACAGTGGTTTGCAAGGGTGTAAATATTTCTCTTTTAAGACTAAAAATATGCTTACATCATGGCAGAGTACCAATATCCCTCCACTGTAGTCTATTAGCCCACTGAAGTCTATTATCCCTTACCACACTCACCTTTGAAAATCTTAATTCAGTTGTGCGAGTTTCAGGATTTGTTTTCATGGGACATTGTCTATTCACTTGCTTTTTTTAATAGACCATGAAAGAGGCCTCCTAGTATTGTCTTTTTCTCTTGTTTGTCTTTCTCTTTCTGATTTATTTCTCTTAAGCACTGACACTGTTTCTTAACTTTCTGATATGTGCTACTCATATTGATGTGAAGTGATAACTCATTGTTTTGATTTACATTAGTCTAACATGATGTGACAAAATGTTTTCATTTTTTTCTATTGGCTAGCTGTATGTTTTCTTTGGGGAATATCTGTTTAATTCCTCTTCCCATTTTTAATGTGTTTTTGTTCCTGTGAGGATGACCCAAAAATTAAAAAAAATATTTAAAGAAAAGAAAATCCAAGATGGAAAACCAGATCAAATATGAATTATTTCTTTTTTTTCTTTACTGTAGGAGTACTGCTATTTATTCAGCCATTGATAAAGCTGATTGAATTGGGCAAGAACTGCACATTTACATTTTTTTTTTGAGTCACTGTGAGATACAGCTAAAAGGCTTTCATGTATGAGACTCAGCATACAATGATCCATCATCCCTGGCAGGCAGGCTTGAATGGTCGTGGGAAAATTTGAGCAAAACATAATGCCCAAAAGTAGAGAGACGGCAGGGAACGGGGGTATATACTGGGGACACTGGTGTTGGAAAGTGTGCACACATATGACCACTGAGGAGACTGGCTGATATAATGAAAGATGGATAAATTATTCAATTTCTTTTTTTTTTTGCAGGCCACACCCAGCAGTGTTCAGGGCTTACTCCTGAATCTGTGCTCAGGATGAGTGGGTCCTAGGGCACCATATGTGTGCTAGGGTACCTGCTGTATTATCTTTCTGACCCTCTCACTGAGTTTCTTTCAAAAGAAAAATCAGGGGCCAGAGCGATAGTACACCACTGTAGGGCGTTTGCCTTGCATGCGACTGACCTGGGTTCGATCCCTGGAATCCCATATGGTCCCCCAAGCACCACCAGGAGTAATTTCTGAGTGCAAAGCCAGGAGTAACCCCTGAGCATTGCTGGGTGTGACCCAAAAAGCAAAAAAAAAAAGAAAAAAAAATCAAATTTTATGAAAACAACTTTCTTAGGAAAGGAAAAACATTAGACTCCTGATCCTCCTTAACATTACTTGCATATTAACATTCTGATAGATTAAAATCTTGGCTTCCTAGTCGCATCTGCTAAGTTCTATGCATTTCACCACCTTTTTCTGACCCAAGATAATTTTCCAGGGCATTGAATCTAGCAAAGGATGAAATATTACTCTAATATATATTTTCTTTGTGTGCTTCAAAAACAGAACACCATATGTTTCCTACTGTAGATATAGACTATTAAATTAAAATATCTATATTCACTGGACTGTCTTCTCTTAGAAATAATTCCTTTTGTGTTGAGTTTGTAATGGGGTTGGTGGGTATTGTAAAAATTCAGTGGTCCAACTGAGCATAGAAGATGAAAAGTTCTTTCTTCTCTCTCTCTCTCTCTCTCTCTCTCTCTCTCTCCTCTCTCTTTTTTTTTGGTGTGGAATGTGTAGTACACTGTACAGTACTGAGAACTGTTTCCAGTTTGGTGCTTAGAGATCACTTCAGGTGGTATTTATATGACTGCATGGTTCTGGGGGTGAAATCCAAGTCTCCTGCATGTAAAGCACATGCTCAATCCTTTGAGCTCTTCCTCTGGCCAAGTGTATCATCTTGACGCATTAGCACACAACTCTAATCACTTCCCTTAGGAAAATTAGAACAAAATTGAAGGTGTTCTATAGGTAGTTCTAGAAAAGCTGTTAAGGGGCTGGCTGCCATCTGTTTTACTCATGCTTAGGGAAAATGGCTCAGTTATACATGGAGTCAGATGATCTTCTGGATTTAAACTATTGTCTGACAAGCTTATTGTGAATTGTTGAAAACTCCTCTCCATGCTTAGAGCCTTTGACAGCTATGCCACACATTCATGGCAAAATTATTTAATATATTTTAGTTTTTTGTGGAAACTCATAATGAATGATGGTTTAGGTATCTTTAAATTGACTTTATGAAAGAAAAATTATTGCACAATAGAATAAAAATAAGCTTGCTCAATTTATATATATTTAATTCCTGTATTGGTATGTCTGTATATATGTCAAGAAGATTATTATTCCTATTTTTAATGTAAACACTGATATCAGAGCAAATTATAATTTATCAAGTAAAATGTACGTAGTAAGAATTTTGTTATTTGGAAGGTCCAAATCCTTCACACTTTATACTGTATCAAAAAAATGTCTGAAGACTTTTTTGTGAAATAGTGCTATTGTAGTCCCTTTATCTAAAAGGTTTTCCTGTAATAGATCTCCTAGTAACAGCCACCACTTATTAAATATTTATCATGTGCTAAGTATCAAATTGTTTAATTTGATCTGTCAACAAAATTGAAGTAGGTAATATTATCTTCATTTTACAGAAAAGAAGATGAAAATTGATTAAGAAACTTTTTTGTCCTTTCATCTGTTGTTGGATATTTGTGTTGTTCCCATACTCTGACCATATTTTTTAACTAAGTGTTATAACGAACATAGGTATGCATTTATCTTTTTGAAAATTTTTTGATTTAGTGGCAGATGCTAAGAATAGAATTATTGGGTCATATTGAAGTTCTATTATTGTTTTACTGATAAGTTTTTATGTTATTATGCATAGAGGCTGAACCATACCACATTTCCAATAACAGTGAATAAAAAGTTCCTTTTTTTTCCCTTAAATTTTTATTAGTGAAACACCATGGCACAGTTGTAGACTTACAAATTTTTGTGCTTGGGTTTCAGTTATACAAT